TTATCTTTGCAGCTGCAACCAAAATACACGTGTTTTTGATAAATGAAAAATGAAACAATACCCGGCGCATCCATCATTCCAAATTGGCACAATCGTAATTATATAGAAGCTGATTAATGAGCTTATTTTGAAGAAAATAATTTACAAATGTGAATAAATGTACATATTTTATATTGATAGAACATTTCTTAGAGATTTCTAAGGAATTTCATTGCGATTTATAAAAAAAATTCTTTGAACTTCAATAAAATTAGATATTAAAAGCATTCAATGCTATGAATTAAATGAATCTCCCATATTTAATAAACTACAGAAATTATGTTTTGAAGAATCTTCAAAGTTCAAACCACTTTAACTAGTTGAATTAACTGAAAGTTTCGCACATTATCCGAAATCGAGTTAAAACGAACGACGAGTCAAAAAGGAAATCACGATATTGCTTTCAGCGCGGATGGAATCCATTACAGGGCGGGCGATACGAAAGAACATAACAATCCTTTTCCGCGTTTTACTCCGAAATATCAGAGAATTCTTTTCTAAATATAAATCCGAAATGTTACTCACGAGGGATTCAACAATACTTTAAGAGCTGTGTAAAGAGAGTCAGAGAAAGAGAGGAAAATTAAAGCGCAAAAACGAAGAATATAAATACATTGGGTTTCGTTTATTTTTGCTCTTTTATTCATTCATCAAACGGACGATATAATAGCGGTTATTCAGTGCGCAATCTGGAGGATCTCATTAATGGATTCACTTTGTTCGGTATGTAAAAAACTGAGGAAACCGAAAACATTAATCAAAAGATTTTTATAAAAGATTTTACTAAATGTGTATTTTCTTTAATTAATGCTATTCAATTTATTACGTTAGAAGTAGAAGATAAATGATATAAAAATTTAAATGCGAAATATTAATGGAAATCTTAGAAGAATGATTCTTGCAGAGGAAATAATTTATAATTATAAATAAATGTACATATTTTAGTGACATTTCTAAGGGATTTCGATGAGATTTTCATTGGATTTCGTATGATAATTTGTATGAGATTTCTAAAAAATAATTACTAAAGTTTATATTCTAAACTAAAAGAAATCTTAATTTATGTTTGTATTATAAATGTGATTGTTCTAGAGATGAAAGATTAAGTAAAAATTGAATATTCCCATTGCAGTTGAAAGGAATTAACGTCAGAATTCCGAACAAGTACCATTATGATAAATTCAAATTGCAGCGTAGTGGCATTAGCAGTTCCGGTGAGAGAGAAGGAGGAAGTGAGGCTATCGCCTGTAGGCTTTCAGCTGTTTTCCTGTAAATCATTGTGCTATGCATACAATACCCTCAGTTAAGTTATCCATGACAGATTCGTGACCATCCGAGCAGACGAATCGCATTGTGAACATCATATAATAATACTAATAATGCATATGCAGCAACGAAAACGGGGTCAATTTTAAGTCGAAATTGCGCACATCCGAGTGATGGATTAAGCAATTGCACACAAAAGGTTTATTGTCTTTTGCACAATTTGGAAATCTCTTTGCGTGTATTCTTGTTTCACTCTTTAATTAAATTATTGCATTAT